CATATACGATCTGAGAAGTCCTTAATGTCGACAATATTCTGAATGTCTTATATTAATTGCAGTACATTCTCGCATATCATATACAGATGACAAGCCCATGTGTGTATGTACTTTTATTAAGACACAGCGGTCCGTTTGTCATTGCAGCCTAACATTCAAACGATTCACTTTATCCACGGATGGTTATAAGCATTGTGAAAACGTATTGATTATATATGATGGTTCGGACCCGGACACGGATACACGCATCAACGAATACTGTGGAACTATAACAAATCTTGCAGTTCAGTCGAGCTCTAACGCATTGTCACTTGTCTTCAACTCTGGCTCGGACATCGGCGACAGGAACCTGGGATTTCTGGCTATATATGCAAGAACAGGTAAAAAATTACCGAATCGAATGTAATTTAATTCATGGTTAAATCAATGCCTTAGAGAATTGCAATAATATGATAGCTGAGATATGATGTCCATTATATTTAATATGTTTAATTATTAGTATTTCTAAAACGTACGACCTGATTCTACTGAAACTTGATTCAATGACACCGACTAATGCACGTAATAGCTCTCCAGCGTTCGACTAATAAAATCTGTAATCATATCCTATACTGTCACGTTCTTGCTGATATGTCGCATGTTATACTAATTGCAGGACAGCTTTTCTCTATAAAAGCAATAAAACGTGATATTCAACCTAACGCTATCGTTTGACGTCCTGTGCCAACTGTCACGTCACATCGATACAAAACCGATGTGAATGTCATCTTATTTTATAATGCTTGTGTTTTAGACTGTGGGTTTGGAATGTGTGACTCTGGTTGTGGTGGTGACAGCCAGTTGACAGGTGCATCTGGACGCATAACAAGCACAAGCAATCTCGGCCAATCTTCTTATAAACGGTGTCAGTGGACCATAACCGTGGAAAAAGGAAAGCATGTATTTCTCGAATTTCTTGAATTCATCATACCAAGTGTGAATAAAATGTCGAATGTAGAAGAATGTCTTCCATTCAACTATATCGAACTGTATGTTGGAAATGAGGCTGTACCTTCAAACTTGATTGGTAGATATTGTGGTACCCAATTACCGCCTTATCTAATTACCTCTAACAATCAAGTAATCATACGTTACAGTAGTGGCAATCCGAATGACGGAACTGGTGTATTTGTAGCAAGCTATGTAACACAAGGTAAGGTGTAGAGAGTGTCGAAGTGATGAATACAAAACTTATGATTGCAGTTCAGACATTGAAGTGTTGAAGTGAGACTTCTCTTGTTACAACCGCTAACCTGTCATAATATTTGCAGGCATAGATTCAAAGTATATGTTTATTCATTTGAACTATTCATGGGCGTTATGATGACTGACATGCTTTTTCTTGATATCATCGTTCCAGAGTGTCCCGGATTCTCGACAGGTGTTCGGCAGTGCCCGGATGGGGAGATAAGAGCATTCAATCACACTTGCGGTTATTTTCAATCCAGTAATTACCCGAACCCATATCCAGACAACAGTCGGTGTACATGGCAAATCACGGTGCTCAAAGGAACGTATATTACGTTGCTGTTTCTTTACTTCGATGTCCCGACCAACGATAATCTATGTTCTGATTATGGTGTCCACGTGTACGATGGTGACGAGAGAGACTTCACGCAACTGATTGGATCTTACTGCAATGCACAAAGACCTACACCGGTGGTTCTTTCAAGTGAGAATGTCTTGTATATTTATTTTAATGGAGGTGAATCTGGGGGTGGATTTTCAGCGGAATATACATCGTCGGGGTATGTCCCGCCTATCGAACTTACTCATGAGCATGACAAAGGTGAGCATAAATACCATTGCTGTTTGATGTCCATCAAGCTGTGGTATAATCTTTGAAACCCTTAAGATAGAGATGCGTCATTACCTCATTTATTAAATGAGCTTAGGAGTAAAATTCACCTATTCCTATAAAGATTTTGTTTTTTACTACAAATTTAAAAACTACATTGCTGGCTACGCAGACATTTTTTTTGATATCTCAATCGCCCTTCCCCCAAATCCCCAAATACATGTTTCATTATTGTTACATTCGTTCCTGCTTTTCGAGTACATATTGAATATATCCTATCCAGCTATGAAAATACATGCCCGAAAATGTGTCCCATTATAGTTAAGCTTTTATCGGTCGATTTTTAAAGTACTGTTTAAATTTTCATAGCATAAGTACAGGTACTTAAAAGTACCTAAATTTTTGCACCTAATCTTTAATGAGGAGCACAAGCGTTTAGCACAAATGTGAATATGTCTATTATTATAATACCATGCTTAGCATTTTGTTTATGTATTTCGTTTGCGTTTTCAGTGTTACCGAGTTGAATTTACCTGATTGGGAGGACTTACACCAAAGTCATTTAAATATCTGTATTGTTAACTGTGTGCACGAAGGCAGTACGGTGATCGTGTCGACCAACGCGTAACGGAGGTCGATGCCATCCCATACTGACTGAGTGCATACTTTGTGGTAACCTTGTTATTATATATACATACACACATTCCTCTGGTAGTGATAATTCAGTGAGATATAATAACAGACTGAATACCAGCAATAATTATTCGCTCCTGTGTCATCATTTGTGTTCAGTGACAGGAGTCTATTACAGTCATGCGTACAGGCATGCGCTACATTTTCGCTGCGTCCTACGTAATCAACGGAATCTTAAATAATGAAGGCATTCGAACACGTCCGCACATACACACGAACGGATAGAATTTATTGTTCTCTGTCATATTTGATTTACCCTGAAAGATTACAGCTGTGAAGATGGATGGCAATTGTATGACCGACGCTGCTATAAGTTTCACCACAGTGAACCGACATCGTGGATGGAAGCTGAAAGTATATGCCAATCCGAAACCTCCCACCTCGTAAGCATATTAAAATATGAAGAAATGGTTTTTATCCATTACATGCTGTCAACAGAGTGGAGAAGCGAGTTTATTGAAACATACATTGGTAAGACTCGTAAAATTATGATATATCTCATGTTCCACAGTCTATATGACTCATTGTTTGCGCATGCGCATAATAGGATTTGTGTTATTATGATTCTGAACATATTATCTGGTCCACATGGAGGTCACGCAAATATTTTAGAAACATACTAAAATCTACTAAGTTATTCTGTGAAATATATCGACCTGCTAGTCGAGTGGACTGCTTTGGGGACAAGAAAATCTTGAAAATTCTTTTTCACGAAGTATTTTGAATAGTCATAGAATGATTAACAAACATTCTTGTAAAAAGGCGTACGTAATACGTAGTACGT